CCAGAGAAGAACTGACTATTGTGGCACTTTGTCATTTTGGACCTTAAGTGAAGAGCTGGCCTCAGAGGAGACTTTACTCCTTTCATGCAATAGGCAAAATTTCCTATAATAGATGCCACATTGGAAGGCTTAAGACAGTAACTGGGACACAACAACAAAAAAACTAATGAATGAAACAAACTACTGACATTGGATTACTGGGTTTAGCAAGCAGTTTGCTTCCAGCTCTGAGTAGGGAGGGTGGTAGATTGGAAAAAACCAACTGGACGCATCTCTACCTGACACCAGGTTCTTTGATACTTGGCAAAAATCAGATCTAAGCTTTTGAGCTCTAGTTTTCACCCTTGGGTGAACCTGGGAATCATTTAATTGCTTCAGTACTGATATGTAGACTCTATCCTCAAAGATCTAAATTAGATGACCAAGAGGCATATCCTGAGCATCAGGGCAACTCACAAGTCCCCAGGTTATTATTTTGTATTACCAAGGCTGACAGAAATTGAGCTAGAAATATATCTAAGTTCCTCCCATCATGTGGAGCTCAAAGTTGGGTGACAGGGAGGTTTTGAGTTCCTGTTAACTTGCCCAGTTGAAGCAGCAGCATCTCTGCCTCCATGGAATATTCAAACTCTTTACCTGGGAAGCATGAACATGAAGAGAACATCTCCTATTGGCCTATTGAAGCCCTTCTTACTTTCCATAGCCCTAGATAAGGTGGCTGTCAAAGCTACCCACACAAATAATAGTCTTGGATAGAAATAAGTTGTATAAAGCCCAGCTTTGTGGTGGATTTCTGCCACAAGACCTGTGACAGCTCTTTCTCCTCCTGTGCAGGATGGATTGATGAGGTGTACCTGCCCACTAACCACTCCCGGCTGCGGGAAGCTCACAAGTATGTCACTAGCAAGCTAGAGGCACTGGAGATCCCATTTCTCCCTTGTAGCTCTGGCCTCTCTTTGTGGATCAACCTGAAAGATGTAAGCTCTAGGAATAAGCACACAGTATTCTTAGAAAGACCTGCTGACTTGGGTCTCATGTTTGTTATCTCCATACCTCTGTTCTTTCTAGTACCTTTACTACCCGGCTACATTTGAAGAAGAAGAACTCCTCTATCACCGCTTCCTGGAAAGCAAGCTGATATTATCCCATGGCAAATCCTTCAGCTGTAAGAAACCTGGCTGGTTCCACCTTGTCTTTGCAGAAAAACACAATCAACTCGAAGAGGGTGAGTGGTGCTGACCTAGTCCTTGCTTCCTTTAGAGATAGCCCCATCGGCTCCTCTCTGACTCAACTCCTGAAGCTTCCTGTTGTTTTCATTTATTTCTTTTGCCCTTGAAACCTCTTGCTGCATCCATCCTGAGCCAGCTGTTTTCCATTTTCCTTTTTAATTATGCTCCCTTGGGAACAAGACCTGATCGGTACCTCAGGCTCCTAGCCTGGTACTGGTTTTGTACCTGCCACAGAGTGAGGCACTGGGAACATGAGCTAATGAGAAGTAGTATTCTACCCTTGTAGAAGGTAGATAAATGATTGTGGCAGTTCCCAGTGTTGATGCTAATGGAGCTCAGAAGGCTATGAAGAAACCAAAAGTTAAAACCATTATTTATTACATCCCATTGCATGCTAGATACTCTTTTATCCTCTGGGAACATAGCAATGAGCCCCTATTCCTCCTCATGAAGGTTTATACTGGGGAAACATCTTTTGATCTAGAGTGGGAAATAGGTTGAGTAAAAACTGGGTATAATGGTGTATACCTGTAATCCCAGCCCTTGAAAGGCTGAGATAGGAGGATTGAAGGTTTGAGATCAGCAGGGACTATATAATATAGTCAAACCTTATCTCAAAACATCACATAGAAAACAGATCAAGTGATGGAGTTATGAGGCAAACGGAGATGGGATGTAGGATTTGATAGGAAGCATTGAAATGTCCCGTAGACTAATCTGAAAGGAAGCATGAGGGTGCAAGGGATTAAACAGGTTGACTTGGAAATCTATCCTGAAAAAGGACCAATGTTTAGCTCTAATAGTCTACCATGATCTGGGTAGGTCTAAGCCCTACCTGCCAACCTACTAAGTGTTTCTTTCTCTCTCTCCATTTGGACCCTGTAGGTGTGAGACGGTTTCTTCTGGTGCTAGAGGAGCAGAAACAGGATCGCATAGAGAGACTATTAGAGGATGCCCTATGGGAGTCGGATTGACTTCCATCCAGCAGCTTCAGTTAGGCCACATGCTCAAGGGTTCCAGGAAGCAGCCTCCAGCTCAGAAGGCTGTGGTTGAACAGTGACTCCTAAGGAAATGGTCTCAACTGACGCACTCATCAATCTCCTAAGCTGAGCATCTGCTATCTTTGGAAGTTTTGCATTGTTTTAGTCGTTGTTAACCATGTGTATGCTTTTTTAAAAATTGGGTTAGGGTGGTAGGGTCTGGAGAGGGAGAAAGGGATCTTTCTGGCGTTTTATTTAAGTGGTTTTATTTTTTTATATTTTAATGCCTAATAAATTCCATATTCTTTGAAATTCCAGATGTGCCATGCTTCTTGTTCACATCCTTCATATCATCTCATAGTATTTTTGCAAGATCTTTTTCACATCAGCTAGACAGGATGGGTATAAGCACGGATCTTTGTGAATATCTGTTCCAGTTGTGCCTTGCTGAAAGGGTTTAAAACCAATTATGGTGACATGCTTTGTATCTTCATTTGTTCAGGATGTTAACAAGAAAATACTGTAAAGCAGGTGGCCATTCTGGAGGCTACTAAGTTCAAGATCAAGCTCTTGAGCATCCAGGGTCTAATGAAGCCTTTCTTCTTGATTTAACTTGCCCAAGGCAGAAAGGTCATAGACCATCCTTTATGACTGAATCCCTTCCCAAAGTCCTACCTCCTGGTCCCATCATCTTGGGGGGGATGATTTAAACATAAATTTAGGGGTTCACAAATACTTTGTCACTAGTTCCTAGAGTCTTCCATTTCCAGCGTCTTCCATTTGCAGCAAGTGTTTCCAGCTGTCAAATCACTCATCGACTTTTGAGTCCTTGGAACCTGAGCACTGAAGCTGTGACATGAATAGAACAGGAATGACCAACATTTTGGAAGTGATGATGAAAATGGCTTCAGTACCATTGTGAGTGTTAAGAAACTTCTTTTCAAATTCCCTTTAGATAAAGTGGCATAGAAGAAATGGTAGCATGTTTACTCCTGGGGTCATTTCAAAGCGATCCTATATCAACTTTATGAAGTAAAGTACTTACCTATCATAGTTTGAAACCGAGTCCTATATTTCTAAGACCAGAGATGTGTGACATATCATGAAAAGCAGAAAAAAGAATCAGCTTTGGTTAGTCCTAAGGGTTTATTACCATGCTCTCTTCTGGACCTATGTTTTGTTCTTTATAATGATAATTTTCTTAAAAAAATTCTGATTCCTCAAAATTCTTCCCTCCCTCCCTCTTTCCTTTCCCTTCTCCATCCCCTCCCCTTCCCTCCTTTCCTTCTCTTTTGTGCCAGTCCTGGTGCTTGAACTCAAGGCCTGGGTGCTGTCATTGAGCTTTTTTAGCTTAGGCTGGTGCTCTACCACTTCCTGAGCTTTTGTGCTCAAGGTTAGCACTCTGCCACTTGAACCACAGCTTTTTGTTGGTTAATTGGAGAGAAGAGTCTCATGGACTTTTCTACCTGGGCTGGGCTTTGACCCATGATCCTCAGATCTCAGCCTCCTGAGAAGCTAGTATTACAGGAATTTTTTTTTCTTTCCCATTTCTGGCCAACCTCTGCTCCTCCTTCCCCCATGGATTAATTCTGTAGGTTCACAACTCCATGCAAATGTAATCATACAGGCAAGCTCTTGTGTTCAACTTTATTTGTTCAGAAAATGATATTCACGTTGTCATATGAATTAGTTCATTCACTTTGAGTATCCTATTATGTAGGTCATAACTTATTTAATAAGAAACCAACAGTTTTCCAAAGTGCTTTTAGCATTTAAAAGTATGAAAGTTCTGGACACTCCATTTTCTTGTCAATCTTTGGTGTTTTCAGTCCCTCTTAAAGTCATTCTTGTAGGTGTATAGGTTTTATTCTGCTTTTAATTTACATCATGTGAGTAATACATATCTTTTCATGTGTGTATTGACCACTCATGTGTGGTGTGTGTGTGAGAATCAGCTGTCTGTCTTACTGAATTCTTTTTATGCATATGTATAATGTATATTACATGTAACTATATATTATGTATATATTACATCTATAGTTACAGACCTGCAGCACCATGCATAGTTTGTGATTTCCCTTTTTTTAATCTATGGCTTGCTTAGAATAGCTTTCTTTGTTCTCAAATATTTAGAAACTGTCCAGCTCTCATGGCAGTACTCTTTCCTCTCCTCCCCAGCACTTCAGAAGGCCAAGACAAGGGACGGATGGTGAGTTCTAGGCCAGACTGGGTTACAACAGCAGGACAAATGAATGGCTGCAAACACACCACCTCTAAGAACGTGCCCCTCTCAATTCCGAGAGGCTCTGGCGGGCTACAGAACTTGCCAAGAGACATAATGCACCTCAACACTACCAGACAGACAGGAGTTACAGCAAGGACCCCACAAGCCCCTCTGCTGCCTTTCCCTCCCACCGGATTTCCTCTCTTCTGTCCCCCTCCCCACCCCTCCAGCACCAGGTTTAGCCTTCAGTCAGAGTAGGCGGGACCCCGCGGGTCCACGAATGCGGAGACGCCTGCTGGGAGCTGTGTCCAGGGCGTGTGGGCGGTGCTACGGCATGTGGGCGGTGCTTTGGGTGGGTGTGGGTGGTGCCCCTGGCTGTGGGCGGTGCTTTCGGCGGTTGTGGGTGTATCCTGGTCCCGTTGGGAGCTGTGTCCAGGGCGTGTGGGCGGTGCCTTGGGCGGATGTGGGCGGTGCCCCTGGCTGTGAGTGGTGCTTTCGGCGGTTGTGGGCGTTTCCTGGTCCCGGGAGGCTTGAATCTGTCAGCAATCTCATCTGTACGTAAAGCGCCAGAGACATTCCAGAGCCAAAGAGACGGACCAGCGGCCTATCTCCAAGTAGGTGCCACCTTCCTCCACTTTGCAGGACTTGGCCTTCTTTCCTGCCCTTTGATCTCACAGCCCTCAGCACGGATCGGATCGCGCTTCCTCCGCCTGGAAATCCGGGCTGGGCTCTCGCGAGGCGTCCCGTCCTGTGGAAGAGCCTGCGACGGTGAACGGGCAGTGGCCGCTCGGCCTGCGCGACTCCGACGCCTGGTCGGGGCGCAGCTCTGGCTGGGGACGGGCTGGGGTAGGCCGGGGACAGGCTGGAGGCCTGGAGGCCCCTTCCTCTTCACTGCAGCCCCAAACCCTGGCCCCAAGGCCGTGCTGTCCACCCTGGCCACAGCCCACCGCCCTCTAGCTGGAGGAAACTAGGGCTGGCTCTAGGGAGGGGGTCACCAGTTGGAGGAGGACCCCAGAAGATTTAGCAAGGCAAAATTAAACCGTAAAGGGTTTTGGTCCTGCCTCCCGATCGTCTTATCACTCAGAGGCGGCGAGGATATGACTGTTCTAGAACTTTGGTCTTGAGGACTGGACTCTTGCCTAATTTGTATTCTCTCTGCTGCCACATCCACTGCTCAGGTGTGAAACCGTTTGGGGAGGTGAAGGCTGGGACCAGAGGAGACCCTGTCCTTGGGTCTTGGTCTCTTCTTCCAGAGGGAAGACAGGAATCCTGGAGTACTGCTTAGCGTGCCTGCCTGCACAGTGGTGACCCCTTGCAGTTCCCCTCAGTTCACACCACTGCCTGCTCCACATCACTGATCTCATGCTTAACACCCCAGAACCCCAGCAATGATCTACTTGGAAAATTTAAAACTTTTATTTTTTAGTGGCAGGTGAGATGGCACGGGGGCTTGAACTCAGGATCTGTGCACTGCCCCTTAGCTATTTTTGCTTAAGGATGGTGCCGTACCATTGGGTGACAACTCCACTAAAGGGCTTTTTGGTGGTTATTTGGAGATAAGAGTACTGCCTGGGCTGACTTAGAACTTTCATCCTCAGATATATCATTCTTCTGAACAGCTAGGATCACAGATGTTTGCCGTGCCTGGCCTAAAACATGGCTTTTTGAATTGAGGTCAGTAAGGATGGGTAAAGAACATTGGTGGCCTCTTAAGGTACAGAATGGAAAGCTGCAGAAATGGAACAAGTTTTACCTATAAAGTTACTTAAATGTAGCAAGTACAGTCCTTGTCTGTCCCTTGTTCTGTCCTTTCCCTTCCTCCCTCTTCCTCCTTCCCTCTTATCTCACTATGTTGTCCAGATTGGCCTGGAATACATGAGCCCCTTTCAGCAGCATCCGGGCCACTGAGATTACAGGCATGTGCAACCACTCCTGCACAGAGTTTGCTTGTGGAAATAATTGTACACATGTTGCTAACTGGTAAAGGGCACAGAAACCATGAATATATAAACTTAAAGGAAATGACAGGTAGGCATGGTGGAGCCTCCTTAGTCCCAGCTATGAGGGCGGTTGAACCAGGAAACTTACTTGAGTACAGCAAAAGGGTACAGCCTAGGCAACATAGAATGGCAGTCATCAAGAAAGCACAATGAATTTGGTGCAGATGCATGGGGATATGGGTAGGACCCTCTTATGTTGTTGCTGGGAATGTAAAATAGTTGACCTACTGGGGAAATCACTGTGGGGGTTCCTCCATGTGGAAAAGTTTAAAAATAGACTTAAGATCCTGACATGCCATTTGAAGAATATGTCTGAAGGAGTGTATATCAGTGTACAAGAAAGATATCCACGCACCTATGTTTACTTTCAGCATAGCCATGCTGTGGAATCAACCAAGGCCTCAACAACAAATGAATGGATAAATGAGATGTGTATATACCATAGAATATGACCCAGCCATATGGAAAAGTAAAATGTCATTTGCAAGAAGCTTGGAATTGGAGATCATCATATTGAGTGAGATAAGACAAGTTCCTGAAGCTAAATATTGTTTGTTTTCACTCATTTGTGGAAGCTAGACCTAATATATATTTATTATATTCACAGACATGGGCATATGCATACACACCTATATACATATATACTTAAATATGCAATATATATGTGCACATACAAAACAGTATTCTAACACTAGGACTGTTTAAAGGGTTGAGAGTGAGGGAAGAAGGAAAAAGATGGAATGTGAACCCCTCTGTACGGTATTTTCACAATAAAAAAAATGGAATGTGAATAATTTTGAAATACAACTGTATGAAACTGCTATAAGGAATGTAAATGAAAGCTGTTGATCAGTAAGGGGTTGAGAGATGGGGAGAGAGAAGGCAATAGAGAGGGTTATTCTGATTCAAATATAAAGCATGCACATCTGAAATACGCTGAAACCGCTTGGTGTAATTAATGCACAAAAAATGCAAAAAAAATAAAAATAAAACAGACTGTTGTGGAGGACAAGTTCCAATCTGAGTGAGGAGGGCTAACAGAGAGGGAAAATGAGGATGAGTATGTCTGAAATAATTTACATACATAAAAATAGAACAAAATAACTTGTTGAAATTATTTGTTGAGTTTGTTTGGGATGCATTGCAAATATGCATGTATGGGAATATCACTGTGAACCGCTTCCCCCTTGTGCAACTAATAGGTGCAAATAAAAAATTATAAAATAAAAATAAATAGAAAATGGGCAGATAGGGCTTGGTGCAGTGGGGAAGGAGCCTTTGAGCAGGCCTGTGCATTGAGTGCTTCTGTCTTCTTGCAGATGTTCACCCCTGATCCAAAGGACCCCCCAGCACCTCCCACTTGTCTGGGCTCTGCCTCCACCCAGGACATGGCGAGTAGCTGTCAGGATGGCCGGGAAGAGGAATGTCCCAGAGAACCAGATCCCAAGCGCTTGAAGCTCTATGGAGTGGGTAATCCCATTTCCATGTTCTCCTCTGACAGCTCCTGCCTGTCCTTTCGAGGGAGAGTCATCAAATGGTTCTGGGACTCAGCTGAGGAGGGCTACAGGACCTTCCACATGGATGAGTACGATGAGGACAAGAACCCCAGTGTGAGTGAAGCTCCGCCCCCACTGACCCCAAAGTGAACTGCAGGAAGGGGCACCTTTCTTGACTCATGGACAGCCTCCCTAGGACTTGTCAGTTTGGAGTTCAGTCCTCTAACTCCAAAAGCATGACTCCTATTGCTCATGGAAGCCCCAGTTTATTAGTTTGTTTATAATTAAGGAGACTCTTGATTTGTGAGGGAGGAATTCAAGGAACTGTGGATCGGAACATGGATTCTGACCCACCCCCACCAATTATTCAACTTAAATTTCTCCCCTCCTCTTCTTCCTTCCTTTTTTTCCCCCTGTGTTAGGTATTGAACGTAGAGTCTCAAAAATGCTAGGCTAGTACTCTATCTACCATTGAGCCCCCAGCCAGCTGCTGTGTATCTCCTAGGAGAGCATTTATACTGACACAGAGGCTCCTTTTTTTTTTTTTTGGTCAGTCGCAGGACTTGAACTGTGGGCCTGGGTGCTGTCCCTCAGCTCAAGGCTAGTATACTCTACCATTTGAACCACAGCACCACTTCCAAAGGCTCCTTTTTGATCTACCTCTACTCTAGTTTCTGTTTCTCTCAGAGTGCATTCTTTCATTCTATAAACATATACAGATGGCTGCTCAGTCTCTTGAGAGAGACAGTAGTGTTTTGGGCATGCATCTGCCTTCAGGGAGACTTATAGCATTTATCTTAGTTCTCATGGTTCCAGGGTGGAAACTGAGCAGCGCTCAGCGGATGGCTGTAAAGTGCTGTGGAACCCTGAGGAAGAAAACAGCCCCTGGAGATTTTATTTTTTTTATTATTGTGAAAATACCAATCAGAGGGGTTACAATTACATGGGCAAGATAGTGAGTACATTTCTTATCAAGCATTGTTTGCCTCCTCCTTTGTTTCCCCATACCATCCCTTCCCCTCTACACCCTCCTACCATCCCCCACCCTCCCACCTTCCACCCCACCAAAGTTGTAAAGTTCGTTTTTTGATATAACGTCTTGCACATCTCATTGTTGTAAGGGTCCACCTGTAACCCTATTTAAACAATTTACTTTTTCCCTTCCCCTCCACAAATTATATCAACATCAAATACAGTGAAAGCAGGGCTTATACCCTGGGGGAGGTACATACAAAGCAATGAAGAAATCATCTTATAAATATGTTGGAAACAATCACAAGAAAGAAAAAAAAACCATTTGAATCCTTATCTTGGGGTTCATTTCACCTAACATCAACTTGTCTGACAGTTTCTGTTTGTCTCAGACATATACTAGTTATTGCAAATAAGGGAAACAATGGGACCTATGTTTCTTTGGGCCTGGCTTACTTCACTTAATATAATTTTTTCCCAAGTCTTTCCATTTCCTAACAAATGCCATTCTTTCTGAGGGAGGCATAGAATTCCATTGTGTATATATACCACATTTTCTTGATCCATTCATCTACTGAGGGGCATCGGGGTTGGTTCCATATCTTAGCTATGGTAAATAATGCTGCAATAAATATGGTTGTGCTGGTAGCTTTAGTATGGTCTTGTTTGTGATCATTTGGGCAAATGCCCAAAAGCGGGATTTTGTCTGTCATGGGCGTGGGGCTTGTACTCAGGGCCTGAGTGCTGTCCCTGAGCTCACTTGCTCCAGGCTAGCACTCCACCACTTTGAACCACAGCTACACTTCTGGTTCTCTGGTGACTCAAATGGAGATAAGAGTCTCATGGACTTTCCTGCCCTGGCTGGATTTCAACCGGGATCCTTAGATCTCAGCCTCCTGAGTAGCTAGGATTACATGCATGAGCCATCAGTGCCTGGTAGGGATAGCATTTGGCAGAGCTTTGGATATGGGAAGATGGGAGCTGGGAGCCGGGAGCTGAGTGAAGGCTCAGCTGGAACACAGGGATAGTTTCTGAAAGGGCAGACTGCAGGGCACTCCACCTGCCGTCTCTGGGTCCCTGGGGCTTTTCCTTGACATTCCTCTGCCATGCTCACACAGCCTGTGCCCCTCTCGTCTACAGGGCATCATTAATCTGGGCACCAGTGAGAACAAACTCTGCTTTGATCTGCTGTCCCATCGGGTGAGTCCTAGGTACCTCTGAGAGGTATAAGAATGGCAATACACAAATAGATTTTTGTTTGTTCTGCTCTGGGGAGCTTCTTCCCTGGAATGTTTCCTCCATAAGAGCCTGCTGTCTGTCTGGGTCAGGCTAGGTCCTGGGAGTTAAACAGCTCTGGCTTTCAGGTCTGCCTTCTAAGACAACTCTCTATGTGGACTTGGGTGACTCACTTTCCCAGTCTGGCAGTGCGGGCCCTCAGCTCTGCTCTTCCCTCTCTGTCCCCAGCTGAGTCAGAGTGATATGTTGTGGATAGAGCCGTCCTTGCTGCAGTACCCCGACTGGAGAGGGCATCTGTTGTAAGTAGTTGCCAGTGGTTTTCAACACAAGATAATTTTGGTGTCTGTGTGTTGGGAGGAGGTGAATAAATAGCAATATGTGAATAGATTTTTGTTTGTTTTTACTGGGAGTGGGTTGCTACTGGCCTCTAGAGGATAGAGGCCAGGGAGGCTGCTTACTCTACACTGCACAGGATAGCCCAAAGAATTGTCCCACCGATATCAGGAGTGGCAGGCTGAGTTTTCTGTAGGCTGAAGGTCCATTCTTGTAGACCTGGTAATCATGGGGGTCTCTTGCCAGTTCCAGCCCTATCTCAGGAGCTCCCAGCTTGGGCCTCTGATCCTGATCTGAGTCATGGAGAGGGCCTTCGGGTGAGGGGTCTCTCCCTGGTTTTTTAGTACCATTGCAATCAAGGTGAGCAAGGTCATTTCTTCATGGTAAGGTGGGAGGTAGTGTAGAATATTTGATTATGGTGTGCTGATAGAGTATTGATGAGGGTGGCTGGGTACTGTTTTAAGGGCAGAGTGGACCAGCACAACTCGATTCTAAGACCAAGATCCCAAAGCACATTTCCTTAACATACAAAAATTAGGATAGTGAGCTCTGGAGGCAGAGCACAGGGCATGACAATGGACTCTGCCACTTACCAGCAGGTCACCTGATAGTCTCCAGTCTCAATTTTTTCATCTGTAAATAGATATAATAATAATAGTAATAATTATGGCTGCAACATAACATTCTCCAATGATATTTGTATAAGGTGAATGTCCAGTAAATGTTAGCAAAAACAACTGCAGTAACAGTTACAACAACAACATCAACAACAATAATAAATTATTGCTGTTGGTTGTGGGGCTTGAACTCAGAGTATGGGCTCTGTCCCTGGACTCTCTTGTTCAAAGCTAGCACTCTAGCACTTTGAGCCTTAGCACCACTTCTGGTTTTTTGGTGGTTAATTGGAGATAAGAGCCTCATGGACTGAGTGGGCTGGTTTGAATCATGATCCTCAAATCTCAGCCTCCTGAGTAGCTAGAATTACAGATGTGAGCTACCAGCACCTAGCATTAATAATGTTTATATAATTATTAGGTAGATCTGCCTGTAATGTTACCTTTCATTGTCTGAGGACTCCTGCTTAGATGGATTGGGTGTCATACACCTACTGAGAAGGAAAGCTTCTCAGGTGGATAGGACCTGGGGAGGGGCGCCAAGGTACTATGATCAGATAGGTGCTGATCACATTCCTCACATAAGAAGTAGGGAACAATACTAGCAGCTGACTGAAGATTCCCTAGAAGAACTTTGGGGTAGACTATGGGTTAAGGGCCTTCTGGTAAGTCTCTCTGTCTGTCTGTTTCTTTGTCTTATCTCTAGTCTCCGAGAGGAAGTGGCTAAGTTCCTGTCTTTCTACTGCAAGAGCTCAGCACCCCTCAAGCCAGAGAATGTGAGTAGCTCCCCTTTCCTTTCTTCTTACATGATCTTCAGTTTGCTGTCCAATTCTTGACTAGTCAAGGATAAGGTGGGGTTGGGACCTGCCTTTCACTTAGCCAAAGTAGAGCGAGGAACACTTCTTTCTTGACCCTAACCGTAGGGATTTAGAGTTAAAATTTCTGCCCTTGTGCTGGGGACCCTTCTGGCCATCTCAGCCTTGGGTAAAACCTTGGAGTGACTGGCGCTCTCTCTCTTGCTCATTTGACTAAGATCAGAGTTTCCATGAATGAGCGTGGCTACAAGCCAGGGGTGATCTTCTTGGGAGCAGAGCCCCCAGGGCACTGAGCAAGGGACCTGGATCTCTGCTATGCCATCCTGGGATAGAGGCTGGGTTTCTTGTACTTCCTGGAACAGAATCATCCCTATCTCCTGATTGTCACCCCCAGGTGGTCGTTCTAAATGGCGGTGCCTCTCTCTTCTCTGCTCTGGCCACAGTGCTGTGCGAAGTAGGAGGTGAGTGAGCTCTGAGACCCACTCTACCCTGGGGTTGTTCTGTGCCTCAGTGTCTTCAGTATTCCCCTTAGAGTCAGTATTCTTTCAATTCTAATAAAAAATTGGTAACTACAGGAGCCTTCAATAAATGCATACCAATACACCCAGTGGCAGTAATTCCAGGAGAGGTTACTACATCAGGGTTCTTTCTCTCTGAGAGTACCTTCTTCATGCTCTCCAGAACATTGTCACATCCTTCCATGACATGGATGTCTTAAGAGCAGAAAGAGAAGGACAAGGCTACACCATCCTTCTCCTATCAGAACAAGAGTATGGGGGTGTTTGTCCCCAGAAGAATGCAAGTTGGATCTCTCTCCATCTCATTGACCAGAAATGACTCATAAATGTGTTCTGAAAGCATTCCTTGGCAAAGAGGACTAAGGCAGAGCTGGCTTCAACCAAATGTGGTTACCCCCATAGCTTAGGGAAAGACCTCCATGCCTTGGTTATATCCTTGACATTCTCTGAACACTTAGATTATCCCTTAACGAAGAAGAAAATTGGAATGGATCTTGGAGTGGGTAGACAGCAGGGCCTGAGAAAGAGCTGTGGTCTTAAGGACTGGTCATAATCAGGGGTGATTGGTTGTAAGAAATAGGAGTCTCATGATAGCTTAACTAGTAACAATGATATTAGTGGCTTCTATTTATCCCATACTATGCTCCATAGGATTTTACATGGAACCTAGGAAATGCATTCTATGACTGTCCTCATTTTAAGTAGAGGAGACTGGGGCTTCTAGGACCTGTCCAAGTCACACAGAGAGGTTGTCACTGGGATTTTGACCATAACAGGAAGGCTTATTGTAAGAACAAAAGAAGCAATTTCCTTCCCATTCTAGAACAGTCAAGATCAGCAACCCCTTAAGCTTCATTTAAGTTAGGATGATAATAGTTCCCGTGGACAGTGATGGTGAGAATCAGATGAGGTGCAAATAATTCTTTTCATTAGTACTGGGATTGAACTCAGGACTTGTTGCTCTTCCTTAGATTTTTTGCTCAAGGTGGTACTGTGCCACTTGAGCAATGCCTCTACTTCTAGCCTTTTTGCTGCTTAATTGGAGAGAAGAATCTCAGGGACTTTTCTGAGTGCTGGCTTCAAACTATAATCCTCAGATGTTAGCCTTCTGAATAGTTAGAATTACAGGCATGCCACCTGGCTGGTTTCAAACTTCAATCCTCAGATCTCAGTCTCCTGAACAGTTCAGTCTCCTGAATAGTTAAGACTTAGATGCATGACACCAGGGCAGTTAAGTGCTGTTACCAGCACATACTAAGTGTTCAGTAAATGTTAGCCACTAGTTCCTTCTTGGGCTTTTGGCTAAGATTGAATGTTTGCTCTTAATTACAGATGGTCCCCAACTTATGATGGTTCCATTTAGTATTTTTTTGACTTTAGCATGAAAGCTGTACTCATTCAATAGAAACAATATTCAAATTTTGAATTGAGACCTTTTCCCTGGCTAGCGATATGAGACCATATTTTCTTGCAATGCCGGGCAGTGGAGCCACAGCTCCACACACAATCAGCCATATAACTCTGTTGCTAAGCTAGTGATGTTTGGTAGTGATGCTTTTTGACCGAATGATATTTTCAATTTACAGGGGGGTTGTCTGGATGCAGCCCCATCATATTATGAGAGACATTGGTCTCAGTGATTCTAGGCTTTAGTATTTTGGGGAGTTGAGAGTAGAAAACATGCCCCAAATGCTCCCCAAGGATGTTGAAGTCCTGGAGAGCCCATGATGTGGGTCTGAGATGTTGGAGCGAGAGGATGACAGACTGCCCCTTACCCTCCTCAGAGGCTTTCCTGATTCCCACCCCTTACTATGGAGCCATTACCCAGCACGTCTATCTCTATGGCAGTGTCCGACTGGTCTATGTCTACCTGGACAGCAAGGTAAGAGTTCCTGCATCCCAGGTGGGACATGGACTTTCCTGTAGGCTGAGTTTCCTGGGTCTGAAATCTACATAAGGGCTCTGGGGCTACAGTGAGAAGAGTCGAACCTCCTGTTGCCACTGGCTGCCATGTCTGGGGTCTCCAGAGGTTCCTCAGCACCAGGCCCTGAGATTCTTGAGGTCCCTGTAGAAGCCAAGGACAGCCTTAGAAATAAGAACACGGTAGTACACTGATGAGGTTAGTCCCTGATGTGAAGGGTGGAAGGGTGGGGATGTGTGGTGGGAAAAGAGAGTGACCACCCCGCTCCATCCATTTTCCAGACACTGTGCTAAGATTGGAGCTTGCAAAGGGTGAGAGATCTAGAGCTCAGGTTTTGAGAGGAACACTGAATTTGGCTGTTGACTTTGGTGTATCTTTTTTTTCTCCCCAGGTTACTGGGCAAGACACACGTCCCTTCCAGCTTACAGCAGAGAAGTTGGAGTTGGCCCTGCAAGGAGCTAATGCTGAGGTCTGTCTGAGATCAAATCAAACCCAGAGCTGGGGGTGGGTGGGTCTGAGCAGGGTGTGAACCCCTTTTTCTCTGCCTGATCTCTGAATTAGGTTGACAGCCTATGATGGGGATGTAGGTTGGGGACATGGAGCCATTCTAGGGGGTCCAAGCCCTGACTGTGGAGGGTCTTCCCATTAGAAAGACTCTTGAACCTCAATGCAGACGGAATTAACTAGGGAGCTTCATTAAACACTCTGCATCTGCACACTCCTGCTGATTCTGCTTCAGGAGTTAAGTGTGGTACATACAGGTCTGTAGTTTTGCTACTCTCCTTGGCCATTTAAAGGGGTGTTCTGTGTACCTTGAGAGAGCCTGGGGCCTCCTTAAGAAAAGTAGAGACCTGTAGTAGTGGTTCTTCCAAGTCTACTTTTCAATGATTTGCCTACTTAGGTTATTTTGCCTTTATCATTTAAGTTGTTGTTTTTTTTTTTTTTTT